ATTTCTCTTCAAGCACATGTGACTGCTTATAAAATGAGACCAAAACCCTTTTACATTAATTGTGGAACCGATAACCATGAGAGAACTCCCTAAACTAGTGTTTGTGGTTTATTAGTGAGAATGAGCTGGGGAGAAAAAAAGGGTCATCCAATTCAACATTTTGCTTTGACTGAGTAGCTCTCTATTGGTCTGACAAATTTAAACTGTAATTGTCCTATTTTCTTTTTCTATTTCCTTCAGGACTGCCCTGTTTTGTCCGACTAGTATGGAATCACTTAAATGAAGCATAAAGATGTTGCTATCAGCCATTTGGGCCTCTGTCCATAGCAAGTTTATCACAACCTCTTCTCTGGTCTGGTCAATAAAATTTCATCTGGATTCTCATGGTCAACAGAGAAAGATAAAATGCAAACAGTCTGCTTCAGCTCAGCCACATTCTTAGGATGTCTGGTGTGAACAGCTCTCTGAGGTCATTCCACAGCATCTCTATTGGGTTGAGGTCTGGGCTCTGACTAGGTGGAGTTTGTAGCTCCAAAGCCATTCTGTAGTAGATTTACTTTGTTTAGGGTGATTGTCCTGTTACATTGCCCAGCTTATTCTGAGCTTCAGCTTGGCCACAGCTACCCTGATATCCTGTAGGATACCTGGATAAACTTGTGGTCCAGGTCCCGAGGGAGCAAAACAGCCCCACATAATGCTCCTCCAGCTGGGATAATGTTTTCATGTTTGTACACGGTTATCTTTTTGCACCGTATGTAGTGCTGTGTTCTTTCCAAACAATTCTACCTTCGTTTCATCTGTGCACAGGACATTTTTCCAGTAGTGTTGTGGAGTGTTAAGGTGGTCTTTGGCAAACGTCAGGCAAGCTGCAATGTTTTAGGAGAGAAATGGCTTCTTTTGTGGTGTTCTGCCATGACACATGAACAAAGATGTGAACCACCTCCAATGAATCCTTCAAGTCTTTAGCTGTTACCCTAGGGTTCATTTTACCTGCCTTCATGTTGTGTGTGTGTGTGTGTGTGTGTGTGGTACCTTTTGGAATGATCTAGGCTGGGTGCCTACTTCTATGGAGAGTAGCCACACTATGAAATAGTCTCCATTTACAGACAATATGTCTGTGAACTGATGAATTCCTGTCTTTGAGATGATTCTGTAACCACTTACAGCTTCATGCAAATCAACAACTTTTGTTCATAGGTTTTCTGAGGTTTTTTTTTTTTTTATGCTGCTTGTGAACAGGACACTGACACTGGAGTGTTTTCATAAGTCAGGTAATTCTAAACCACACCTCTATCCATTGATTGGATTCCAGGTTTGCTAACACGTGACTCCAGTTGATATTTAGGAACATCAGAAGCCTCACGTTTCCACGGCTTTTCCCACCATCACTTTTTTATGTGTAATGGGTGTGTTCAATCACCATCAGGACTGTCTGTGATTTATCATCTTAGAAATATTGTGTTTATTGATATTTGTGACTTTGAAGATCAGATTACATCCCATGACCAATTTACACAGAACACCAGGAAATTGCAAACAGTGCCATTACTTTTTCTTGTAACTGTATTGCTAAAATATATTTCTCATTCTACTCTGTTTTCTATACATTTTGGTCATTATATGACTTTCACATTTTCCAGCCTCTGGCCAAATTCCTTCCAAAAGCTTGCTTTAGTTCAGTCCACTGTTCTCAACAGGAGGCAGCTGTTGTCAGTGAAAAACAGCTCTAATAGGTCACTGTACAATAATACTCTCATGTATGTAGCTGGGCAGGACAAAAATATAGAGACACCACTGAATATAATGTAGTCAAGTACAGCACCACCTTTAACTATGTCCTCAATAATAGACATTTAATTGAATTTATACATTTACGGTATGACAATTTCACCAACTTCATAAACACAGACAATAAGGTGGAAGTCTTGCATTGGACTGCATATAATTGCACAGGTGTAGCTAATAGAGGGGCTGGTGAGTGCACAGTATAGTGCAAAACCTGTTTTAGCAAGGTTGTAGTGATACTTATATTTATTTCGGTCTCTTTATGAAGATACAGCTAGAAAATGCAGGAAATATGTACACAACATAAAAAAACTGTTTTCAGAACAAAACAGCTTCTGTAGTCCAAAGTCAGTATTTAGTGTCACCTCCCTTTGCACTTAGCACAGCTTGAATTCTTCTGGGCAGAATGTCAGGAAGTCTGGAACCACGGCAGAGCCTCCACCACATTTCTCTACTCGCATTCCTCCACCTCTCTCCAACTCTTCTTCTCACATACTGTCAACTACTGGACCTCAACATTTCAAACTTTGATTCATCACTCCATAAGACTCTTTTCCACTGATCTCCACTCCAGTCTTTGCAAGCTGTTTTCTCCCTGTCCCCCTTCTGAAAAAGTAGTTTCTTGGCTGCTGCTGTTCCTGATCAAGCTTCTTCAGACTGTGGAAGGATCAACTTGGCCTCCAGATGCAGCTGCCAGTTGCTGAGTCAGGTCCGGCTGGCTTTCTTCCATTCTCTCAATGAAAAAACTTTGAGAAACCTCTCATTAGGTTGGGACAGTTTTCTTTGTGTCCACTCTCGTTTTTGTCCTTGACCAGATTCTTCATATTGTTTTAGAACAGCTTGATGACCACATCTGGAGCATCCAGTTTGTTTGCAGATTTTTTCTATTTTTGTTTTTTTAATACTGTGTACATATTTCCTGTATTTTCTAGTTGTATTCTGATAACAAGGAATATTTATAGTCAGCAAATCTAATGGTGGCCTAAGACTTTTACACAATACTCTAACTTGATAAATTAAATGATAATATGCTGTTGTTGCCCCCCCCCCCAAATTGCCAAACAAAATAAATCAATTAATTTCAATTAAATTAAAATCCATTAATGGAGCTTTTAAAGGTCCTAATATTTTGTCATGTTTTTGCAAAAACATCCACACGACACAAAATGTGATATGCCTGTTTCTTTATTTCATAAAGAGAAATGGCGTCTAGACAAAAGAGTCATTTATATAACACTAGCAAGTGAAATTAATGAAAACTGGGTTTGCACAACAACATATTTACACTGGTTATTAAGTCATTTCAATGAATTAGGGTCAGGTAGCATTTAAAATTATAAAGGTAAGAACTCTGAGTAGAGAATAAGCAAATAACAACTATTTCGAATGAACAATATTAACACAAAACAGTTGTCCAGAAAAATTAAAGAAAAAACAACTTGAACTACAAGCTTAAGAGCTATTACATTAAAAATGATGCACCAAAATTGACTAGTACAATAATCCATAAAATTTGTGTAAAAAGCATGTAGAAAAACACCTGATGCAGTTTGCTGATACAGTCATTGACCAGTTATGAGAGGTATGAAGGATTTCACAGGTAGATAAGTGTGAGAAAGTCCGCACTGGTGACTTGGGGATGGGGGCTCAGGCCCCTGCATACACTCAGTTCACTTGAATGTGAACTATGGCCTCTGCAAGTTCTAAGGCAAATATCGGAGGTGCACTTGTGTCCATATAATGTCGACCCATCCCAAAAGCTGGATTAAAGACAAGGTGAGGAAACTCTTTCTTTGTCTCTTTACGTAACACCAAGGACCAGTCCAATTGAGCCAAGTGAATTTTACATGGCAAAAATTGATCATACATGACATAACATCTATTTGTAAACATATTCCATTTTCATAGTTTACTCAGTGATCTCAGCCTGTGCATTCAACCAGAATATCAGTTGAGCAATCTGTGAGAAAGACATGTTTTTGTTCATATTCTTTTACAGAACAACCTTTGGAGTGGAGAAACCAGTGTTTCTTTCAGAGAAGCAGCAACCAAAAGCTTAACTAAACAAGACAAATACACAGCAAAAAGGTAAAAGCATTCAGTTACAGTTATAGCAACAGCACAAATGTTCACTTAAGTCAGTCTGGCCTGTACAAAATTACCCAGAGGATTCCTTGTCTAAGTATCAAATTCATAAATTTATTTTAGAGGTTTTCTATGCTTAGAATTGTTTCTGTTACATGATTTTAAAGTTGCACTAATCAATATTTGTGTATGAACAAAATATCAGATGCTATGGTGCAACGGGAGAGGGGTCGCCTGTGGTGACACACCAGCAAAGAATTATCACTAAGTCTGCATTTGCCTTCAGCTCTAAAGAGCTTTTCAGCCTCTTGATGCTAACAGTTTTTGCTTTACAACCTGCAAACTCTGCTTTCATCAGTCTCATTTACACAATTGCATTTTAGCAGAAAAAGGTTCTGTGATTGAGTTCTCATTGTGAGTTACCTTTTCAGCACCAAATGGCAGACACACAAAGTCAACTACTAGTTGGTGAGCATAGCAGAAAATTTAGCAGCTAAAAAGCCAGATATTTTTCTCAGGACATTCTTTTGGTGGGCACAAAAAGTTTGTGTTTGCTGGATGTGTAAATTAGTAAATGTTTGGTAACATGTTAGCCATTTCTGCTAGAGTTGATAATATGTCAGTATTGTGCTTACAGCTGTTTCTGCTACCCCAAGTAGCCAAAGGGTAAAAAAAATAATAATAAATAAATAAAAATGCAGCTTTAAATGATATTAACATGATTTTCAATAGAACCTTTATTTGACTCAAAAAAAAAGTCTGATTCTGAGTGATAAATGTTTGACACCCTGAGACACTAAAGTGTTGGTTCCCCCACATGACAAAAACATATCTTCTCACTTTTCTCTACTGGTGTATAGCTAGACAGATAGTTTTGGTTTTATTTGTCAAAGTTTTGAGATTTTTGCTGACACCAAGGTTTGTCTCAGTTTTCAGCGGAGGTACCTAAAGCTAAAATCAGTTGTTGAATGTTTTAGATGCCATTTTTCAGTGATATGAGCACCATAAATGAGCACCGAATTTTTTTTGTATGGAAGAAGAAGTCTCAAGAAATATCCCAAAGCTATGAATAAAATAA